GTCATCTCTCGGCATATGTGTCCCCTCCCTCCCCCATCACCCCTGCTATGTCAGTCATCCCGCTCTATCTGCTGCCTCTCCTGTTCACAACATTCACCTTTCGAGCCCCTCCCCGTGTCCTCCCACCAGTCCCTTCACTCGCCCCAGCCTTCCCTCTGGGCTCAGCTGTCCCACACTCCTGTCCCCTCTGTTCTGCTGGCCGTCACCCCCAGCTGTGTCTGTTGAGAGTCCTAGGTCTCAGTCCCTCTCCCTTCCCCCCCTCCCCCAGCCTCCCTTCACCAATCCCCGTCTCCCGCCCCCGGCCCCTTAGTTTTCCCCTTGCCAGCCCCAGTTCCCGCCCCCCTCATAGCCCAGTGTCCCCAGGGGAGAAGCCATACGTTTGCACGGTCCCAGGCTGCGGGAAGCGCTTCACCGAGTACTCGAGCCTGTACAAGCACCACGTGGTGCACACGCACTGCAAGCCGTACACCTGCAGCGCGTGCGGCAAGACCTACCGGCAGACCTCCACTCTGGCCATGCACAAGCGCAGCGCCCACGGCGAGCTGGAGGCCACGGAGGAGAGCGAGCAGGCCCTGTACGAGCAGCAGCAGCTCGACGGTGAGGGCTACGGGCAGGAGGTGAGAGCGGGGCCAGGCCAGGCCTCCCCGTGGCTTGCCGGTGGCAGGTGTCAGCTCGGGCTCTCCTCTCCCAGCTGCCTGTGCCACCGAGGAGAGCCCGCCGCCCAAACGCCCCCGTGTTGCCTACCTCTCGGAGGTGAAGGAAGAGGGCGATGACATCCCAGCCCAAGTGGCCATGGTGGCCGAGGAGGACGGGGCGCCCCGGGTGGCTCTGATCACTCAGGACGGCGCCCAGCAGGTACAGGCCCCGGGGTGGGGGGAGGGGCGGGGGGGGCCGCTGCGGCTGGTCCCCTCTCTCACTCTCTCTGGGGGGTCCCGAAGTTCTGATAGCCCCACCCCCTACCCAGGTTCACCTTTTAGCCTCATGGAGCTCAGAGAGCTGAGGCTGAGGGTCCCGAGTCTTGTCAGCCAGCCCCTCCTCCTCGTGCTTTCACCTCAGCCTCTAGAACTTCTAGATCACAGTTAGTAGCTTCCCTCTTTACATGGAGGCTGACGGTCCTATCGTTTGAGTGAGACATTTGGCTGTCCTCAAGAGAGGCGTGTTGTGGGGGCCAGAGCATGGTGTGGGGTCTGGAGGCCTGGGGTTTCTAGCCAGCAGTATGATAAGACCCTTGTCAGCACCCACTGTCAAGTGCATCTCTGTCTTTTGGAGTTGCCATGAGGATGAAATTGGGTCGAGAGCCCGAACTGCATGGAACAGAGCCCCGAGGCAAAGTGATGGTAAATAGGAGTGATCAGCAGAATTCTTCTAGTGTTTCCTTTGGGCAAACAAAGACCCGTTTTCCTTGCTTGTCCCTGTCCCCCTCCCCCTCTGTGACATGAAGCGAATCTTCTAGCTTCTCCAGAAGCTAACATGTCTGCGAGCACAGGTACCTCCACCCAGGGGCTTTCGGACAACCTGCCAGTGCACTCCCAGCTCATCTTCCTTCCTGCTGGCAGGTTAGCCTGTCCCCAGAAGACCTGCAGGCCCTGGGGAGTGCTATCAGCATGGTGACCCAGCACAGCGGCCCCACCCTCACCGTACCCAGTGAGGACGATGACCTGGCCACATCTGGCACACACACGGTCACCATGGTCAGCGCTGATGGCACCCAGACGCAGCCCGTATGACCAGGCGGTTTGCTTGGGGTTTCTTGTTCTCTTGTCCTTCCTTTTTGTGGGGTGGGCATTAACGTGCAGGCTGACCTCGTCCAGCCTTCTTACAGGGACCAAGATTCCCCCCATAAAGAAAGGGTCTGTCTTCCCCACGGCCCCTCTGCTCCATCAGCCGTTCTCCTCTGGAAAAGCATTTCACTGGGGGTCAAGAGACAGTGTCTAAATCTTGATCTACCTCTAACTTGCTTTGCTACCACAGGCAGGTCACTTTTCCACAGACTTCAGTCCATTTTCAAATGAGATTAAATTACCTCTGGGCCTTTGACAGCTCTGACCTCTGTGAATCCAAATCCCTAAATTAAGTTGGCTCTCAGAAAAACGCCACCTCACCAAGCTCCGAGCCCCATGCTAATTAGTCTGACCTATAATGGTTTTATCCATCCCCCTCTGGCTTGTTCCCAGCCACTTTGCTTGAAGGGATTTTTATTTGGCTTGGGGGGAGGGAGAGTCACGTAGGTGGGTTAGAAAATCTCATTCTTTTATATTTCAGGTTACAATCATTACCTCTGGGGCTGTGGTGGCCGACGACTCAAGTGTAGCATCCCTTCATCACCAACAGGTGGCACTGTTGGCCACAGCCAATGGAACACACATTGCCGTGCAGGTGGGTGGAGGTCCCCGAGCCTGAGAAAGGAAGGAATAAGGAGGGGAGAGGAAGGAGACGGAGATCTTGAAGAGAAGGCCACTCAGCCCGAAAAAGAGCTCATTTTAGCTACATCCACACAGCTGTCTCAGGCGCTTTCTTGATGGAAGCAGAGTGCTGAAGCCCCTCTCGGCCTTCAGAATAATTTTGATGGCAACATATCTGGTGGTCTAAACCCTTGTCTCTTTGTGTCTCCATTTCTTCATCAGGAAAATAAGTGGGCTCAAGTAGATGATTACTGAGGTCCCCTCCAGCCAGTCCTCCCCTTCTGTGAACAAGCCCCTCTCCCTGACCCTGGACCATTCTGTGGCTCCCTGGCCACAGCTAGCCTACTGGGACTCTATCAGCGTTCGTGGGGGCCCCACTAAGTGCTCAGGATGTGGCACTGGGCGAATGGAGGGGATTCAGAAAAGTAGGCCACATACTCACTAGCACTAGAATCTGGTGGGAAGAGTCTCACTCTCTCCTTGCTTCTCTACCGTCTTCTCCGCAGCTGGAGGAACAGCAGACCTTAGAGGAGGCCATCAGTGTGGCCACCGCTGCCATGCAGCAAGGGGCCGTGACCCTGGAGGCCACAGAGTCAGAGAATGGCTGCTGAGTCCCAGGGGGCTGAATTCCACACCGCGTTGGAGGAGGTGCCATGCCACACAGGCGTCCCTGCCTCCAAGGGCCGGGGCTGTGGCCGACACTTGGCAGGTGGCCAAAGAGGTCTCCAGGGAGAGACGGCGGCAGGAACACAGCCTAACTGAAGGGGACGACGGGAGCCCTGCCCCAGAGGAGGGCTGCACAGCTGGACTCGGAGGAGTGTGCCGTCCTCAGGAGCTAAAGAGGACAAGCTGATCACCAGGCTGTACTGGGGTGTCCCCTCCTCAGAATCAGCTGGGTGCCCACTCTCCTCCCTCCAGAGAACACCCTTCCTACCCTCAGTCCACTCCCCCTCTCAGATGGCGATTGGGACTGCTGTGGGGACTGGTCCTCTGTTCTGACTGGTCACTGCCCACCAGGGGAAGGGGCCGACCGCTCTTCAGCCCAGTAGGAGCAGAGCAGGCCCAGCCCTGCTCCTCCCAGCAATAACCACCTCCCTGGAAGCCTGCCATGGTGCCTGGCCACTTGGCAGCAGGGTTTCCTGCCACCACAGTCAGAACCGCTCAGGGGCCTGTGGCTGGAGAAAAGGTGCCCAGCCCCACCCACCCCCAGCTGCCCCCTCTCCTCTCTGTGGCAGAGAAGCAGGGGAGTGGCCTTGTACATACTGGGGACTGGGTTTAATTTGTTTTGGTTTGTTTTTTTAAATTCCATTTTGATAATTTTTTTTCTTGCTCTGGTTGGTGGGGGCAAATGGGTGAATGAGTATTTAATAAAAGTTCCAAGTTTCCACCTGGGTCCCTCCCTCCCTCCCTCCTTTCGGCTTTGGGCCCGGGATACCAGGGCTGGTCGAATCAGGCTCTTAGCCCCTGTATCCCTGGCACAACCCCACCGAGCCTCAGTGACAGACTGGTGGGACTGGCCTACCAGAGGCATGGGGCGGGGGTGGGGGGAGAGGAAGCCCAGGTGTAAGAAAAGCCCCGAGGACCCGCCGGTGACTTCTGCCCACACCTGAGCAGGTGGGCTCCAGGGTGGCCAGACGGGCCCAGGGTGACCCCTGATTCCAGGCTCTGGTTGGATCTCAGGCATCAGGATGTTTGGACTGGAGGGGTTGTGTTTTTTCCTACCTTACCTCGTGTGATATAGAGCCCTTCCGCGCCCAGCCCCCTCCCACATACACTCTGCCCATGGTCAGCTGCTCCAAGTGGGCAGAGCCCCACCGAGGAGTGGGGGTAGGAGGTGCCTTTGCCAAGGTTAGCGAGGGTCTCTGATGACTCTGGTGCTGAAGGCCCAGCTCTGGGGATGCCCAAAGGGAGGTGTCTGGGACCATGCTGTGGAATCCCAAAGCCACCATTGGACCCTAGTGGAAAGTGTGTGGGAGGACCAGACCAGCCCTGGTGGGAAGGGAGGGATGCAGGGGAGGGGACCTGATGGGAAGAACTCTTTGGGTTTGCCTCCGGCGTGGGAGCGTTGAGGGATTGGAGGGGCCTCTTCCTCTCCCCACGATAATGGATGTGCCCCAGTCCCTTCCTGCCACCTGGGAATGGAACCCTCCCCCAAGCCCAGGTACCCTCTCCTCTTCGGTGTACTCATGCCAGCAGCTCTGTGGAAGCAGAGGGGGCTGGGGCATGCCCCCAGGGAGGAGGTGGCTCGGTTACGCAAGCAGGCTTCCAACATCCATGACCACTGTTCTGGGCGAGACCGTGTCCCGGCCCGCACAGGCAGTGGATCTAAAGAAAGGGATCATGCCGTGGGGGGCCCTGAGTGCCAAGCCTCCTGCTGTCAGCACCCCGAGAGCTGGCCCCCCCGTTTTATGCCCCTCCCCCCACCGTGTGATTCAGAAACAGGCCTGCATCCTCAGGGCCAGTGGGCCCCAGAATGGTCAGCGCTCCGAGCTGAGGCCTTTTCGAGCCAAAGCCCAGAGAATGGGGAGGCAACCAATCACGTGCCAAGCCCGCCTGACCTGGAGAGGTGCCCTGGCCCAGTTCCTCCGCCAACTTTGTGTCGTCGCCTTTGTTTTCTTCCGCTTGGGAGGAGCCCCACCACCACAGTGATGTTAGATGGCCCTAAAAGAAATGTTTTATCCAGTGCCTGCTCTGCTTCACATCTATCCCCAGACCTTAGGACTGTGTGAGGTGGGTATTTTTCCAGCTCTCCCCTGAGAGAACCGCTGAAGGAGGTTAGTAGTAACTCATCCAAGGCCTCCTGCCTGGTAAGTGTGGAAGTGAGACAGGATACCCTCTACCGCCACCCTCCGAAAGCCAGGGTGGGCTTGCTTTTTTTTTTTTCTCCCTCCCCTCAACAAGCTGCCTCTGGGAGCCCAGGAAGCCCCAGAAGGTTCTGTGGCTGAGGAGACTTCTCGAGGGCTGCACGCCCGGGGAGCCACACCGAACAGAAGCAGGGCTCTGGCTCTCCGGGTCTGGGTTCCCAGGTCCCATGCAGAGAGTGCGGCCATGAGCACTGCAAGGGCAACAGGCCTGCTCCTGGCAGCACAGGGAGCCCGCGCGAGCAGGCAGGTGGAGCTCTTGCTCCGCGCCATGGCCCCTCTGCGGTCTCTGCAGCCGTTTGCATTTCCTGAAACCGGATCTCGGTGTCAGAGCCGCCCCCGGGCCGGGCGGGCACCTCAGCCATGGCCCTGCGCAAGGAGCTGCTCAAGTCCATCTGGTACGCGTTCACCGCCCTGGACGTGGAGAAGAGCGGCAAGGTCTCCAAGTCCCAGCTCAAGGTGAGGAGCCCCCGGGGCCCAGGGGAGGCCGGCAGACGTGCCTCCTCAGCCCCTGCCGCCCAGGAGCCAGGCAGGAACGCTGTGCTGATGGCACTCAGCCAACCAGAGGCCCAGGCCTGGGGAGGGGAGCCGGGACTGGGTAACCGGGACGACACAGCCCGGTGGATGCTGCTGCCCATGTTCTGGGGCCCCCCGGAGGTAGACGCGGAGCCTCTGCCCAGAGACCTGCTCCCCGGACTCCCTGGAGCGTGGAGGTGGCATCATTAGGTTTTGAAGGCCAACAGGCCAGGCTACATCCTATACTCCGTGTGATGAGCACACGTCTCCCCAGAGTGAAGCCTGGGTACGCACCGTACTCCTTCCTGCTGCTTCCTCCTGGCTTTGAAGAGAGACAGTTAGCTAGTACTTGTCAGTCACTTCCTCCCGGAGCTGAGAGCGAGGCTTCAAGAGCCTGTCCTAGTTCCAGACCAGGCTGACTGGGTCACCTTTGGCAGAGAACAGCTCCTCTGAACCCTGTCTCCCAGCTGCAACAGCGCTGGGAAGGGGCAAGGACCGAGACCCTGCTCTGCCCTGGGCCGCCCAGCTCACCGCCCCCTCCTCCCACACGCCAGGTTGGGAAACTGCTCCCTTTGGCCTTGGCACCTCAGACAGGGAGGGGGTCGAATCTGAGCCCAGGAAGAGCCCATCAGTGATTGCCCTACAATTCAGTACTTGGACCTAAACAGTTCCTGGGAGACCAGCAAGTTTCTCTCCTTCCTTCCCTCCAGTCCTGGCTTAGTGCTGTCTTCTCCACCCTGGTTAGTGGGGGAAGAAGCAAGGCCCCAGGCCACTGGAACCAGGGAACACTGAGAGACAGGAGCAGGGTAAGCCTCAGCTCTCGGTGACCTGCCTTAGGGGATCATTCGTTCCATTCACATGTTAACCGAGTGACCATGTGCCTGGCATGATGCTAGGCTCTAGATTTCTGGTTTCTCTTCTGGGCACCCCCAAAGGAGGCCTGCAGCCTCAAGGAAACCTCCATTTTTAATGACCAAGGTAGGAGGTGCCTGCAAACGTGGGAGAGATGAATAAGGCAGGATAGGCATTTTGCACCACCCCCATTCTAACCCCCTCCTGTGCTGAACTAGGACACAATAAACTTGGATATCCCAAACTGGCCCTATCCCATAATCTATCCCTTAGCCAGACTTATGAGCATCCAAAAAATGATTCTTGACTCCCCCAGGAAAGATAGTCCACTACTACCTTTGATCATCAGGGAGGATTCCTCAATAGGCAGGTTCTTCCTTACATTCTCCGTAAATCCTTTTATTGCAGATCATGTCATCTAGTGGGGGCTTCAGGATAGACAGGAGAACAGCAGATCATCCAAAATCCAGCCCTGCAGAAACCCGTGCCCTACATCCACCTCCCACTGCCTTTCGTATCTTGTAGGAACAATCCCAACCTCCATAGTTTATCTCCAAGGTACCGTTTTCTGTCTCCATTACCTGCAGCCCCTGTAACCTCTCCAGGCTCTCTATGCCCACCCCTCACATGTGGAAAGTGGTTCCCCTTTTCCTGGTGCCATCAGCCAGTAAGGCTTCCTAACTCTTTTCTCGGCCTCCAGCTGGATCGATGCCCACTCCCCACCCCCACAGGTCGAGTACTTGCAGGGAAGATTCTATTAGGAGCTTACATACTTGAACTGTCCACCGTCTGTACCGCATCACAGCTCAAATTGAGCCCACGGCCAGCAGCCTTTGGTCACACAGGAGCAGGGAGCTTTCTCCCCCACTCAACAGAAAACGTGTCCACTCTGGAAATCTGTGCTAAGCGATGGGAGTCTTGGGCCGGGTGGTCGGTGAGGCAGAGACACAGTAGGGCCCATGTCACACAAGAGAAGGATAGGGAAGGCAGTTCTTCCCTGAGACCATAGTGGGAGATACTGGAATAGGAGGAAGTAGTGATAGTGTTGGGGGCAGGGATGCCGGAAAGGCAAAGGAGCAAAAGAGAAGTGGTCAGAAGTCAGAGGAAGAAGCAGATGAGAGAGATACCAGCGGGGGGCCAACCCCACCCCTGAAAAGACTCGTGGGAGAAGGGAAAAGACCTTGGGGTTAGTCTGTCCTCACTAACACTGTCCCTGGCCTCAGGGCCCTGGATTGGGACCAGGCAGCGAGACGTGCACCAGCCCAGCAAGCTATGTCTGTCTGTGACAGTCCCCGCTTCCCTGATGCATTGGGCTGCCACTGGCTCTCATGGGCAAAGCCGTGATGAGGGAGGAGGAAGAGGAGTGAGGCCTCTGAGAAGTAGCCCAAGGCGTAATGATTTTCTCTCTGAGGAAGAGAAGGCTTGGGCGAGAGAGCAGATGGGTTTTCCTCTGTTTGAATTCTTGTAGAAGGTACCATGGCCTTTGTCCAGGTGAGTTGAGAAAAGTACAATTAGACCGATAGGCATGGCACTTCTGCCCAGGATGGATTTAGGTGGAGCACAAAATTTCCCAGGAGTTGAGGACTGTGAGTTTTCCCAGGGTCCCCAGAACCTCCTTCTCTAAAGACCTTTGGGAGGGAGTAGCGGTCCTGCCAGAGGGCTGCAAGGAGGAGAGCCTTGGCAATCATGGGTTTCCTAATGGCCACATCCTCTTCCCTGGGGAGCAGCCTTGGTTCCAGGCCTAGTGGGGAATCGGCTGAGAATTGGGGTAATGGCCCTGCGATTGGGGATGTGGATGGAGCAGTGTGTCTCTGGCTCAGTGAGCTCTTAGGAGGCAGCAGGCCTGCCCCTTACCCTTGATTGGCAGGAGCCAGGGTGGGCAGGGAGGGAGGCGGATGACAACCTTCACTTCGGTGGAGGGGAAGTTAAGAGCAGCTCCAGTCCAGGAATCTGCTGGCTGGGATCTTCAGCTTTTTTTTTTTTAACTATCTTTTTCTTTTTTTTTTTTAAAGATTTTATTTATTTATTTGACAGAGAGAGAGAGGGATCACAAGTAGGCAGAGCGGCAGGCAGAGGGAGAGGGAGAAGCAGGCTCCCCACTGAGCAGAGAGCCCAATGCGGGGCTCAATCCCAGGACCCCGGGATCATGACCTGAGCCGCCCAGGAGCCCACGATCTTCAACTTTGTTCTGACCCCTTCCTGCCACTGGTCTCGGGCTAGGATGGCAGGGAGTGACGGGATGATTTAGTGATGTGCTTGACTCAGAGCCACATAGGCCTGCTCCCCAGCTAGATGACGTTGGGCAAGTGATCGCTGTCTCTGAACCTCTAGTTTCTCATCTGTAAAGGCAGAGGGTTGAACTGGGGATCACCAGCTAGCCTACTAAAAGAAATTTTAACAAAGTACATCAAGTAGATGAAATTGACCCTTGATGCAGCCTCCCCTTTCCCTTTTCCAAGCCTGTCTTTGGTGCCCACCCTCAACCCCTTCTAGCCCTTTCTTTTTCTTTTTCTTTTTTTTTAAGATTTTATTTATTTATGTGAGAGAGAGCGAGAGAGCAGGAAATGTGGGGAGGGGCAGAGAGAAAGAGAGAAGCAGACTCCCTGCTGAGCAGGGAGCCAGGATGCAGATGCGGGGCTGAATCCCAGGACCCAAAAGCAGCTGCTTAACTGACTGAGCCACCCAGGCGCCCCCTCCCCCTGCCTTCTAGCCCTTTCTTGCTGTCAGCAGGCACACAGCTCATCCAGAGATTCCCACCTTTTAAAATTCCCAGTGCTCCTCCCTTGTGATAGTAGTTATGCTTTAGTAAAATACATTTAGTAACTCTTAAAAGGATCTGTATATTGTAAAAAAAAATCACCTGGCACCTAGATACATTAAAAAAAAACTACAGGCTATCTAGGCAAGAGAGAGATTATTCATTCTCTCTGTAGCCATTAGTCGGTGCTGTGCATGGGTTCCCACACCCGTCATATACGCGTCCAGTGAAGGCTGGGAACTGCAGGACCACGAGCTGGCACCTGCCCCATCTCCACACCTGAGTTTTTAGGGAACTCACAAGCCCCTCGAAGAGAACCACTTCCCCACATGCCTTCAGAGGAAACAGTGCGTAAATGAAGCCTCTCGAAGGTCAATGGCTGCCAACTCGAAGGTCAGGGGCTGCCTGGTTGGGCGGTGAGACTGTGAGAGTCCTCTCTGAAGGAGCCCAATGGCAGCCTTGTGAAAGCTACAGACACCTGGACCCCACCCACCCCTGGAAACTCTGAGTCAGTCGGGAGGGGCGGGGCTCCAGTGCCCATCAGTTTCAGCAGCTCCCCAGGTGATTCTGAGGCTCAGCAAGAGCTAATGTGGTGGAGAGATCAAGAGTAGGCCTTTAGAGGCAGACTTCCAGGAAGACACTTTACCTCTCTGCGCCTTGATTTCCTCAACTATAAAAGGAGGATAATGAGAGTCCCTGCCTCCAGGGCTGAGGATTGATTGAAATCAGCCCCATGGGCTCCTGCACATTCTGGCCTCCACCCCTGCCATTTCCTTTCCAGCGTGACCCTTCTCTGGTCACACCCTCTCCCCACCTCTAGCCCCAACCCGAGCCCAGGCACAGGAAGCCTGGCAGTCTGAGGTCTGCTGAGCTCTCTGGGGAGAGGCCCTGAGCCCCCGGTGTCTGGGGCCTTTAATTCCTTCATGTCCTGACACCTGATGGCTCACAGGGATTGGAGCCTCTGCCCCGGGCCCCTGAGATTCCAGAGGCAAAATGTACAGGTGAGGAAGGCAGGTCTTAGAGGACAATGTGGACAAACGAACCAAGGCAAGGAACAGTTCAAATAACTGTGCTGCTGTGTGGCCTCTTCTATCCTGGGGTGGGAGGGGGTTTGTACGGCATCTCTTTGAACCCCGTTTTCAGACCTATGAAAACTGAGGCCCAGTGAGGTTAATTTGCTCAGAGAGATTCAGTCCATGTCTGTCTGCCTTTTGTATTTCTCCTACTTCTTCCCGTGAAGCATTTAAGTTCATTCAACAGATATTTATCGCATGTCCATTATGTGCCAGACCCAGTGATATCACAGTGAATAAGAGGTGAATAAAAGGGACAAAAATCCCCGAGGTGCTGACATTCTAGTCAGAGAATACAGATGGAAAACAAAATAAGTATAAATGTATCATGTGATGGAAAATGATACATGACATGGAAGTAAATAAAGCAGAAACAGGGATAGAGATTGGGGGGGCGATAGAGGGGATGGGGTTATAGATTTAAATAAGGTGGTCCAGAGAAGTCCTCCTTGAGAAGGTGACATCTAAGTAAAGACGGAAAGGAGAAGAGGGTGTGTGCCATGCCTGGACCTGGGAGAAGAATATTCCAGGCTGAAGGCGTAGCAAGTGCAAAGGCCCTGAGGCAAGTGTGTGCCTGGCCCGGCTGAGGAATGTCAAGAGGGCCAGAGTAGCCGCAGAGAAGTGACCAAGAGGGATGAAGCCAGAGAAGGTACAGCAGGCCAGGTCCTAGGGGGCCCAAGGCCTCTGGAAGGACTTGCGATTTTACTCTGAGAACAATGGGAAACCATTGGAGCATTTAAGTTAGACTTGAGGAGTCGGTCAAAAACATTTATCGTGTGCTGGATATCGTACTGAGATCTGGAATCAGGCCTAACTTAGAGTCCTTGCTGCCCTCAAGGAATGTAGAGCACCCAGAAATGCTCACACAAAAAGGGAATAGCAAAGGAATGTTATTATAGAGCAAATTAATAACAGGGTACATTAATAACAGTGGTTAATGGCACTCTTTGCTTTTTATCTCTATAGTTTTACATTTTTGTCATAAAAACAATATATGCTCCTGGTTAAAAAAAAATCAGAGTGCAGAAGAATATAATTTTAAAGAAGATGAAATTTATTCTATAAGTAAAACATGTTACTGGTTAAAAAAATTCAAAGACAAATTTAATGTTAAAGATGATGAAATTTCCTCCCCTCCCTGGGGAAGGATGGTGGGGTGATAGCTGGTAACAGTCTGCTGAGTCTTCTAGATTTTTTCTATGTACACATAAACATATTAGGCTGAACCGTATGAAATTGCTGACATTTTATTATTTCAATCTATTAAAACAGCTATTAAAATTTGCTATGGTTCAACCTAATCTTTGCACACATTTATTTTACAAACATTTCATTCTATAGCTTGCTTTTTTCACCAGCCAGTATAGTATGCCTATCTTTCCATGTCTGTTCATAAAAACATAATAAAAATAGCACACAACTTTTATTAAACAATGAGCTACACACTAGGTGCTGTGCTAAGCTCTTCATTCTAAAAACCCTTTGGAGTAGGCCTCCTTATTATCTTCACAGAGGACACCAAAGTCTTAGAGAAAATCACTTGTCTGTAAGCACACAAGTGGCAGATGGCTAAGATCTTTCCAACCACACATAGGTCCATGACGCGATGTACCTGGCCCCTACTGAAGGAGCCTCAAGCTGTCTCCAGTTCCTCATATTATAAACATGCCTCAGTGAACATTCTTGTACATGTAGCTCTGTTCCCTTGAGCATCTACAGGTTAGATGATTAGAAATGTGGGGGGAAAAAAAAAAAGAAAGAAATGTGGGAGGCAGGGCGCCTGGGTGGAGCAGATGCAGTTGGTTCAGTGACCAACTTGGTTTGGCTCAGGTCATGATCTCTGGGTTGGGAGAGCAAGCCCTCCCCACTTAGCGGGTAGTCTGCTTCCCCTCTCCCTCTGCCCCTCCCCCAGCTTACACACTCTCTTCTCTCTGAAATAAATAAATCTTGAAAAAAAAAAATGCTGGGATCATTCCCAATTTTAAGTTTGATACATTCTTGCCCTCCAGAAAGATTACCAATTCACACCTCAACAGTAGGGCATTCAAGTCCCTATTTCTCCACAACCTCTTCAGTACCTGATGTTATCAGTCTTCTGATCTATGTCAATTTGTTAGGTAAAAAAACCGCACTTTGTCTACAGAAAGGGATCTAACATTTGCTCTGTGCAGATCTAATTCTGGCTGTCTCCATATGTCCTCTCACTCTATCCTCACAGCCTCTCCACAGGACAGGTATTATCCTACTGTTTTGCATACAATGAAACTGAGGCTCGGAGGATGAAGATGTTTATCTCCGTTCCAACAGCTTAACAATTCCAGGGGAAGGTATACCTCTTTCCACTAGAGGAAGCAAAAATCATAGGGCTGATTCTCATTGGCCCAGGATTGGTCATGTGCCCTTCCTTGAGCCAATCACCATGACTCTGATGTACCCACCCCTGCAGCCAGGTGGGTTAGGGATGCAAATAGTCCATACCACAGATATTGAGAATGGGGGAGAGGTGCTTATCCAAGAAAAATCAAGGCTCCATTACCAAATATGGGTGGAGAGGGCCGAGTTCGTCAGGAAGAAACTGAAGATGTCTTCTAGAACAAGAGAAGCAGAACCAAACCTGGCACAGGAGATGATCTGAAGAGCATGGGGACAAGGGTGGGGGTGGCGGTCAGAGATGGCTGCCCAGAGGGGAGTGACGGAAAAGAGAAGCACCCTCTTGCTGGGCCTTCCAACCTCCCACTTGGCCTCAGTGGAGCCTGAGGCTCAGGAGAATACTGGGGAAAAGTGTCAATCCTTTGTCCCACCTCCTCTCACCAGAGAATAAAGAAGTGAAGATTTGGCACGTGTACCACCTCTAGGATGTTACCAGCTCCTGCCTCAGGAACTGACTCTAAGCTTAACTGTGGAAGCAGCCCTTACACACAGCTTTCATTGACTGCCTTTCGGGTGCAGAAGAGGACATAGGGGCCATGGGACACGGAGATGAACAGAGACGTTGTCCCCAGAGTTCACCATCTACCTGCAGAGAGTCTCAGGGTCAGCACTGTAATAGTGAGGCAGCCTTCAGGGCCAGGCACACCTGGTTGCAAGCTCCCCTCGGCTGTTGGCTCTGAACTTCCCCAAGCCTCAGCATCCTCATCTGGAAAACAGGAATAGCGTCTGTGTATCACAGTTGTTGCGGAGGTTAGACACGGGGTATAGAGTGGCTGCCACATAGGTGTGCAATAATGACTATTTTACCTTTTTAATTTATTTTTTATTTTATTTTTTTTTTAGAGAGGGAGTGTGTGCGAGCAGGGGAGGGGAGTTGGGGG